GTTTGGATTCTACTGGTAGCAACAATATTACTAAAATAAATCTTTGTATTTAAATGTTACTAATCTCAGTAATCCATTGGCTCTATGTGTCTTTTGGGTTTGTGATTGGCTCTCAGCACACAGATTGCTGTACTGTTGTATTGTGTTTAAGATAAATGGCAGTACACAGTCTGGTTTACACTCAGAGAATAATGATAAGGGTTCTCTGTCTTTGGCCCAAATCAATAAATACTTTCCACACAGAATTAAATTGTAACAATTTGCAGATCATAGCACCTCCTAGACTAATAACCTACAGAAGAATTGCTTGACTATATCAGAAAACAGATTTCTAGCTCTAAACTGAAAGTATTAGATTTCAAGCTGCTGCAGTCTGTACCAAACTCTGGATGTGGGCTTCTATTAAAGCTGTTTTTACAAATTAAGCACTTTGAATGCAACATTTGTCATCTCTAATTCCTTTAAATAAGTGTTTCCAGCAGTCCCTCACCAACAGTGCTTCTGACGGAATAAAGAAGATCTGAGCCATAACTTCTTTGTCGTAGAGACTTTTGTTGAATTCAGTCACGTAGTACTGGGCTGTCATCTGTCGCACCACATCTTTCAGGGGAAACTGGATCTGCTTTGGGTTCAAGTAATCTTTCCCCACATATCTAAGGACAAATACAGGAAAAAGATGAGACTTCAAGTCACCATATGGACTTTAAGTTGAACCAAGATTGCTACCATACTCGCTTAGCCGCTCCTCCTGGTGTAAATACTGCACCCATATTGTTGTTCTCTGTGTGCCCTTCTCCCCCATTGAGTCACCAATGTAAACACAAGTTTCCATGGCTGTCCACAGTCCAGTGGCCTTGGAGAACTTTAAATGAAGAGCACCTAGATAGAAATCAACAGATAATTACAAACTTTTTTGTTCTATAAGACAAGGCTGGGGTTGATATATAAAAGCTACCAGCCTGCTGAACTCATTGGTGCTCATTTTCATTAAAAAAAAGATCATCTCAGTCCCCTAAATGGGGCGTAGACCTATGGTCACGAGCTCTAGGTAGACACCGAACAAACAAGCGGCAGAAATAAGCTTTCTCTGTAGGGTGTCTGGTCTTTACCTTAGAGATAGCACCTCAGCTGGCTCCTTTCGATGTGGAAGAGTAGCGGGTTTGCTCAGAGCTTCTCCTAGATGAGTGAGCTCCTCATAATCGAAAGGAGCCAGCTGAGGTGCTCTGGACACCTGATAATGAGGCCTCCTTGGCATCTCCTGGGTGAGCTCCAGGGGGAGGGGCAGACCCAGGACACAATGGAGAGATTATATCTCTTCAGCTGGTCTGGGAATGCCTCCATGTTCCCCTGGATAAGGTAGAGGAGGTAGCTAGAGAGGGGGTCTGGGCTTCCCTGCTTAGGCTGCAGCCCCTGCAACCTGGCCCCAGATAAATTGGAAGAAGATGGATGGATGTAGCCCACTGAATAAGAAACTAAAGCCAAGCCATCTGTGAAGTTGGTAATTGGTCTAATTCTTATATAGCCAGAACTGTATGATATATATAGCATATAGATCTGGGTGTGAGCACAGAAGCCCTACTTATATGGTTTTAAACCTCCTATTTATGAGAGTGCAGCTAATCAGAAGAAAGTGAGGGAGGCGTAAAGGAGTCAGAACTGCTATGTATGAAGTGAGCAGGCCAGTGTAGAAAGAAAATAAGGAATGTTGTAAATGTGAATCATGCAAAACTATAGAATCAGATTCCAAGTATAAATTTAAAAGGGGAGCTGGAAAAAAATGGTGCAAAATGAAATCAAAGCAATGGAAATATCACGAGTGCTGAACATAAATATCTGTGCCAAACTCTGCTGGAATCCATCCAGTCGCTGTAGAGACATCATACTCAAAACAGCAAATGTGAACATCATGGTGTCACTACAGGGAAAGTGACAGTAGAATATATCGTTTGGGGATGGGGAATGTGAGTGTTTAAAATTTCACAGTAATCCATCCAACGCGTGATCATACATAATATATTTTACATTTAAGATATTTTTATCTAGAGTGACAGAATGATGCTGACACCCTAGAGCCATAGTTCTTCTGTAGCTCACAGAAAGTACTGATGTTGACAAAGGAAGAGCAGGAATGTAAACTTACTGTGGGCAGTTTTGTACTGCTC